TTATTTCACCTTCATTCATAAGTAAGAGCTTTTCAGGGTAAATTGAAATGGGTTGACAATTTTTTTTCTTTTAATATTTGGACTATATATTGCCATTTCCTTCTAGCCTCTAGAGTTTCTGATGAAAAGTCAGCTGTGAGTCTAATTGGAGATCCTCTGAAAGCAATCTGGCATTTCTTTTGTGCACATTTTAGAATATTTTCTTCATGTTTTACTGAGAAAAGTTTGACTACAATATGTCATGATGAATATCTTTTCTGGTAATTTCTGTTAGAATGTCTGTGTGCTTCCTCTATGTAAATGTCCCTTCTTTCTCCAATTTCTGTAATTATTTCACCAAATAGGCCTTCTAATTCATTCTCTCTTTTAATACCTTCAGAAACACATTATTTCACAATATTTATGGCATACTATCAAATATTGTTGGGTTGTTTGATAGTATCCCATAATTCTCCAACACTGTTTTTAAATTTTCTGTTTTCTTTTTCTTCTTTTTTTCTTTATTGGTCTGACTGTAAGATTTCTAAACATTTGTCTTCTAGTTCAGATATTCTTTCTTCTGCCTTGTCAAGTCTGCTGTTAAGTCTTTCTACCACATTTTTCATTCGATCTATCGAATTCTTCATTTCTAATATTTCATTTTGATTTCTCCTTAAAATCTCAATTAAATGGGAAAAATTTTCATTCATGTCATGCATGGTTTTCTTTAGTTTGTGAATTTGCTTCTGATCGCTTTTGAGTAATCTTATTTTGAATTCTATTTCCAGCATTTCCTCAATTTCTTCATCTTCATATTCTATTATTGACATATTGTGTTCCTTTGGTTGGGGGGGGGGTGTCATGGCTTCTTCTTTATTCTTGTTTCTTGAATTTCTGCAGTTGTTTTTAGGCATTTGTGGAGTTGATTTTTGTTTCCTTTTTTTCTTCTAATGGCTTTTATCTTTGAGCTATGCCTCTGTGGCTTAGTGGAATATCTGCAGTTTTAGTGAATACCAAGAGATGTGTGGTGGATATGGCCAAGGAGCTCTGGTCAGTGCTCCAGGGTGGGATGGGTATTCAGGGTAACACTCAAGTTGGATGTGGTAGATCTCAATGCCCATGTGTTAGTCCTCAATGTGTTTTGTACCACCTTATGAACTGCACAAATGATCTGTGCAGTCCTCACTATGAGCATAGTTCCTACTGCAATGACATGCTCTAGGCAACCAAGGAGCTCCAAGTGTGTGGACTTCACCCAGTGATTGCCCCAAGACCCAGCTACACCATGTACCTTCTCATGTAACCACTAGGTCCCTACAGTCTCAGCAAACAAGGCTCCCAAAGTTGCCAGGTGCAGAGGTTACTCTCTGCCCTGCCAGCCTGTCCATCAACAGAGAGGCAGATGTTCCCTGAGACAGCTCTGCCTAGGTGTCTCGATCCTGGGAAGCTGTGGGTACCTCATGATTCTACATTGTTGTCCAGCCACCTCCCAGGCCAGGCTCAAAGTCAGTGGGAACTGTGGATTGTTCTGTCTGCTAGAATCTCTGGATCACACACATACACAAGAGCTACTGGCCTAATGTTGCTCTCACCCCACCACTGCTGCCAGTACTGCTAAGAAGAAGGCATTCTGTCTCAGCCAGTTGCTGTGTGTGCACACAAAGGCTTCCACAGCTCCCACCCAAACCCAAAATGGTGCCTTCCCTTTCTCAGCTGGGCAGCGGGCACTGTCAAATTAAGTTAGGGCAAGATGAACATGCCCCGTCTACTTCCACTGAGTCTGCAGCCACCACCAGCAACTGCTATTCCCCAGGGCTCCAGTCCAGATTCATGCCACATTCTCCCTCCAGCTATATCACCACAGGTTGCAGTCTGGTCTCACCTCCATCTCCAAGCTGCCATCCACTCCAGTTCTCAGCTACTGCAGTCCTGTGTTGTGTCCCTGTTTGTAATATGTGTCTACACCCTCCACACAGGTCCACAGTGTTCCTCTTCCTCTATTAGGATTTCCAGTGCAGTTTTGTCTCCAATTTCCCCCTACACTTTTTTTTTTAATGTTTATCCCTAGCCTAGTGCAGGAATACGCCATCTTGGAATCTCCTAATCTATACTTATTGATAGGAGATTTGCTATTCTATTATTTGTTTCAAAAACATTTATTCAAAGCTCTGAGCTGAAGCACTGTTTTCTAAATTATTTATTTCTTTTTGAATCCTTTTAAATTTCCCTTCACCTACTTACCATAAGACAATTTATTTAAATTTGGGTTATTTAATTTTTTTAAAAATGGGTCATTTAAGCCAAAAGTTTTATTTTTTAACCAACTAATACTTTTTTCATGTTAATGTGATTTAATACAAAGGGAACAGATTCAGTGTAGTTTATAGATATAATTCAAAGAATATAATGAAACTACTTCCTTGGCTTCTACCCCCTTTCTCTCTCCTTCCTTCCTTCATTTCCTCTCTCCCTCCCATCTTTCTTTCTTTGCTTCATTCCTTTCTTGCTTCTTTCTTCCTTCCTTCCTTTCTTTCTTGGTTTTTGAGATAGCATATTTTAAGTTACATTATAGTAAAAAGCTTAATGCTCCATCAAGTGACGAGTTCAACAAGTAAAAAGTAAAAAGACTCTATTTCAGCAGGAATATAGGCAAGGGCTTTAAACAATAACCAAATTAAAAAATGACCATTTCACTCATATACAGTGAATGTTAAAATAACCACAGATCATTAAAACTGTAGTAGTATATCATTCACAACCAGTGGATGTAAAACAAAGTTTGACAAAACTATATTTGCAGCAATATTGACACACACAGGCATTTCTTTCATTTAAAATTTTTTTTTCTTTTTTAACCTTAGCTCTCACATTTAAGGTAGAATATATGGTATTTGCCTCTGGGTTTGGCTTGATTCACTCAATATGATGTCCTCCAGTTGCATCCATTTTTTTCCAAATGATAGACTTTCATTCTTTTTATAGGTGAATAATATTCCATTGTAATATATAAACCACATTTTTTTATCCATTCATCTAATGACAGACTCCTTGGTTACTTTATCTACCTAACTCTTTAAAAATATGCACTTGGTGTCAGTACTGTGGTACAGCAGGTAAAGCTACCACCTGCAATGTCAGCACCACGTATAGACACCAGTAGGAGTCCTGGCTGCTCCACTTCTGAACCAGCTCCCTGCTAATGTGCCTGGGAAAGCAGCAGAAGATGGCCAAGATATTGTACCCCTGTATACCTGTGGGAGACCTGGATGCTGGCGTTGGCCTGGCCCAGACCTGGCTGTTGTGGTCATTTGTGGAGTGAACCAGTGGGTGGAATCAATCTCTATCTTCCTTCCTCCTTCCCTTCTTTCCTCCCTCCCCCCCTCCCTTCCTTCCTCTCTCTCTCTTTCCCTGCCTCTGCCTCTCCCTCTCTGTAACACTGTCTTTCAAGTAAGTGAACTGATCTTTTAAAAAATGTACTTAACATTTTGAATTTACTTTGAATATAATTGTAAATGTTTCCTTTATATTTTCATGTATATTATATTCAGTGCTAACTAAATTCTTATTGATCACATAATTTTCCCCCTCAATCTGGTAAGAGAATATTTTGGGGGAAGAAATTATTTAAATTATAAAATTTAGAATTTCAGTTATATCTAATTTTATTCTATTATTTTCCACACTATGTGGATTATATGATGTTCACTTTAAAACTGTACTGTAGTTTAGTTAATATGTTACAGTTATTACAAATGTTCCTTGAATTATTGAAAAAGGTGTATTCTTTTTTTTCTTTTTTTTTTTTTTAAAGATCCATTTATTTGGAAGGCAGAGTCACAGAGAGGCAGAGGCAGGGAGAAAGAGAGAGAGAGAGTGAGAGTGAGAGCGCGAGAGAGAAGTCTTCCATCCGCTGGTTCACTCTCCAGATGGCCATAACAGCCAGAGTTGTTCCGATCCAAAGCCAGGAGCCAGGAGCTTCTTTCAGGTCTCCCATGAGGGTGCAGGGGCCCAAGGACTTGGGCCATCCTCCACTGCCCTACCTGGCAACAGCAGAGAGCTGGATCGGAAGTGGAGCACCCCAGACCCAAACCAGCACCCACGTGAGATGCCGGCACCACAAGCAGTGGCTCTACCCACTATGCCACAGTGCTAGCCCCAGGTGTATTGTTTTTTCATCAGACTACAGTATATATAAATTAATGGTCATGATTACATTTATTAGTAATAGCAGTCAGATAATCTCTGTCCTCATTTATTACTTTAAAAAAGTAATAAAACTTTTATCTGGTATCTTATAATCTGTTAGTTACTTGATAATGCCTTCTCCAATAATTGTGTGTATGTCAGTTTCTCTTTGGATGTCTAAATGATTTGCTTGATTTTTTCTCTTTTAATATTTCCACTTTTGTCATTATTATTATTATTATTATTATTTTTTTTTTTTTTGACAGGCAGAGTGGACAGTGAGAGAGACAGACAGAGAGAGAAAGGTCTTCCTTTGCCGTTGGTTCACCCTCCAATGGCCGCCGCTGCAGCCGGCGCACCGCGCTGATCCGATGGCAGGAGCCAGGATCCAGGTGCTTTTCCTGGTCTCCCATGGGGTGCAGGGCCCAAGCACCTGGGCCATCCTCCACTGCACTCCCTGGCCATAGCAGAGAGCTGGCCTGGAAGAGGGGCAACCGGGACAGAATCCGGCGCCCCAACCGGGACTAGAACCCGGTGTGCCGGCGCCGCAAGGTGGAGGATTAGCCTATTGAGCCACGGCGCCGGCTTGTCATTATTATTATTATAAAATGACTATTTTGTTTTTTGCCTCAAATTCCTCTATTACAACATTTCCAATTTTTCCTTGAACGTGTTTTTCTGTTTGTTAAAATGTGTTCTTTTACTTTTAGATGACTTTCATTTGTGTCTCTTCTGAGCAGAAAATTATCAGATTGGAGTTTTGAATGCAAAGTAAGTTTTCCCTGGTACACAGTAGCACACTAGACCTTGCTAATTTTCTCTTTGTTTTGTTTCAGGTGGGCCATAAAGCATGAAGGGACTAGTAAGCCAGGCCAGTGGAAACATTCCCGAGTTGAAAATCCTCTGTGGAACAAGCTTGCGTACATGTGGCCAGTCCTGCCCAGTGGCCAGCTGAATGAGGTTGTATTGTTGAGTAGGCTGGTTGTGTAGTCTAGTGGCTATTTAGTATGGTGTTTGTCAAGACATTTAAGGCCCAGTGTGTGGTCAACTTTCTTCAAACGTTCATGCATCTGTTGAATTTCTGCTGTTTGTTTAAGAGAGAAAACTTGCTAATTCTTTTTATCAAATAATTGGGAGATGTGTCTAAGTCTCCTATTATAGAGACAAATCTGTTTATTTCTTGTGGCCTATCAGATTTTACTTTATGTATTTTAAAATTTAGTTCTAGCACACCCATGTCCAAAACATTACCATTCCTTGGTGAACTGAAGCTTTTATCATTATGTAGAAACTCTAGCTCTACTAAAAAGTCTCATTTTTCTCATATTAATAGAAATATCTCAACTTCCTTTTGCTTATTACTTGGCTAATATATCTTCCTTCCGTCTTTTCACTGTGTATATTCTGCTTCACGTGACGCCTCAATATTCAGCACACAGTAAATTGAAACAAATTTGTCTGACAATCTTATACCTAAACTAAAGCAGTTCATCTATTTATTGTAGTTGAAAATTTACACAGGTTTTTCAACAAGTTCATGGAAAATACATGTTATCAAAAAACTATGCATGGATATCGACAATTTTTGCACTAGAATAGACTTATCTTTAATTCTATTTTCTCATGGACTTTTTGAAATACCCTCCTATTTTATTTACTATTGGCTTTCTACTTGTTTTGGCTTTTCTATTCCTTTCTCCTTACCCCCTCCCACCCGTCTTATGTTCTTTTAGATTGACTATATTTTTCCTTATTATACTTTTACCATCTTCTAGTTTGACCATGATAACCTCAATTTCTGTTCATTTTTGTCAATACCCTGAGCATTTTAGCTTACATACACAAACAGTCAAAAGGTAAAGCTAATGAATGTGTTTACTCTTCTTAAATAATCAAGAACATGAAAGTATTTTAATTTCAACCATATGATTTTTATGTAAGCTATTTCATCGTATATTTTAGTTTTATCTTTTAAAAATTTTCACAAGATACTAATATTGTGGTGTCATACAATATTTTTTAGATTTACCCTCAAATTTTTATCTTTCTTGCTGTAATTCCTTCTTATGTCTCAGTTCATCTACCTAGACTTCTCTTCTGACTTATATACAGCATTCTTTTTGTTTTGATGACAAATGCTTCAAGTCTATACTTATCTTAAAGCATCTTTATTTTTTATTTTTATTTTTTAAGATTTATTATATTTATTTGAAAGACAGAGCTACAGAGAGGTAGAGACATAGAGAGAGGTCTTCTATCTGCTGGTTCATTCCCCAGATGGCTGCAACAGCCAGAGCTGCACCAGTCTGAAACCAGGATCCAGGAGTTTCTTCCTGGTCTCCCACGTGGATGCAGCAGCCCAAGGACTTGGGCCACCTTCTACTGCTTTCCCAGGCCACAGCAGAGAGCTGGATCGGAAGAGGAGCAGCTGGAACTAGAACTGGCACCCATATAGGATGCCAGCACTGCAGGCCAGGGCTTTAACCCACTGCACCACAGTGCCAGCCCCAAAGCACCTTTATTTTGCCCCCGTTCATATAAAGTATTCTCAGTTAGCAAACTGAGGATATTATCAATGCTCTCCAACTTCCATTGTTTTCTTTTTAAGATTTATTTATTTATTTGAAAGTCAAAGTTACACAGAGAGAGAGGAGAGGCAGAAAGAGAGAGAGGTCTTCTATCTGCTGGTTCACTGCCCAACTGGCCACAAAGGCTGGAGCTGCACCAATCTGAAGCCAGGAGCCAGGAACCAGGAGCCATCTCCAGGTCTCCCACATGGGTGCAGGGGCCCATGGATTTGGGCCACCTTCCACTGCTTTCCTAGGCTTTAGCAGAGAGCTGGATCAAAAGTGGAGCAGCCAGGAATTGAATCGGCACCCATTTGGGATGCTGGCACTGCAGGCGGCATCTTTACCTGCTAAGCCATCATTCTATTGAACACAATCTATCTTTTCTTTATGACTTCTTTTAACATCTTCTCTATGATGCTCTGTATTTTATTATAAGATATCTGACAGAGAATTTCTTTTTATTTATTCTGCTTCAGCTTTCAGATTCTTTGGGGTCCATGAATATATGCACTGGTTTGTTGCATCGTTTCTGGAAAATTATCACTGACCTTTCTTCCAGTATTCCTTCTTGCATATCTTTTGCTGCGCTGTCTATGGAACTCTGACTAGCTACATGCTAGAACTCCTTATTTTGACCTCCATTTGACTTGGCCTCTCATATTTTCCATGTCTTAATCTTTTATGATGCATTTTCCATTATATTTTCAGATGTTTTTCCTCAGGATTATTTTTCATTCATCTTTGTCCACTGTGTTTTAAATCTTTTTTTTTTTTTTTTTGACAGGCAGAGTGGACAGTGAGAGAGACAGAGAGAAAGGTCTTCCTTTGCCGTTGGTTCACCCTCCAATGGCCGCCACGGCCAGAGCGCTGCGGCCAGCGCACCGCACTGCTCCGATGGCAGGAGCCAGGAGCCAGGTGCTTTTCCTGGTCTCCCATGGGGTGCAGGGCCCAAGGACTTGGGCCATCCTCCACTGCACTGCCTGGCCACAGCAGAGGGCTGGCCTGGAAGAGGGACAACCGGGATAGAATCCGGCGCCCCGACCGGGACTAGAACCCGGTGTGCTGGCGCCGCTAGGCGGAGGATTAGCCTAGTGAGCCGCGGTGCCAGCTGTGTTTTAAATCTTAAGGAAGGATCAGCCTGTAGTGCGAATTCTCAATGAAGATTATTTTTCTTCTCCCACACAATGAAAATATTTGCAAATGTTTATTTAACTTGCAGTTTTCTGGAGAGATCTTCTTTCTGGTTTGCCTTTCTGGTGAAATTTAGTCTGTTGAGATTCTTGTTCCATGAAGATATAAGGTCTCCTTTTAGACCTCTCAGCTTGACTGGGCCCTGGAGTTTGTCTCCTGTGCCTTTCCCCTGCAAGTGCACAGAAGCAAAAACTCAAGTTCTCCCGTATTCAGAAAATCTCCTTAAGACAAAAGCCAGCCTCAGCATTTTCCTCACTTCGATGGGTTTATAGTATGTGTTATTTTATTACTAGGTCAAAAATACATTCTAAAAGATTTTTAAAACATTTTTTCCTGAATTTCTTAGTTGTTTTCAGCAATGAGTCAATCAGTTTACATAACTTATGTATTTTGTGGTCTCAGTTTTTTTCCAATTCTCTTAAATCATGATTCCCTGTCCCTCCTCCTCTATTCCATCAGTGGATCTCAAAACTTTAGAGGAAGGATATATGGCATTTGAAATCAACTGGTTGTTGCTTAGGCTCCCCAGAGATGCTGTATTTTCTGACTTCAGTGAAGCAGTAGTCTAGAAAGCTGAGGTTTGTTGAAAGAAGATAGAGTTCTTCAAAATAATGGAAGCAGTGGCTGGTGCTGCGGCTTAATAGGCTAATCCTCCGCCTTGCGGCGCCGGCACACCGGGTTCTAGTCCCGGTCGGGGTGCCAGATTCTGTCCTGGTTGCCCCTCTTCCAGGCCAGTTCTCTGCTATGGCCCAGGAGTGCAGTGGAGGATGGCCCAAGTACTTGGGCCCTGCACCCCATGGGAGACCAGGAGAAGCACCTGGCTCCTGCCTTCGGATTAGCGAGGCGCGCGGCCACAGCACACCGGCTACAGCAGCCATTGGAGGGTGAACCAATGGCAAAGGAAGACCTTTCTCTCTGTCTCTCTCTCTCTCTCTCACTGTCTACTCTGCCTGTCAAAAAAATAAAAATAAAAAAAATAATAATGGAAGCAGTAGGGTGGGCAGCCCAAGTCGGATGAACCTACACGTGAGGGTCAGGGTTTGCAACACTAGTGAAGCCAACATGGAGTCAAGCCTGGAGCAGCAGCAGAGAGAGACCAGGAAGCCTAGTTGAGTCCCTTCCCCCTTAAAAAAGACGGTCGACTGCACTCATTATAGATTTTTCCCCCGATGTGCAGAAAGAATAACAGCTAAAACAGAGCAGGCAGGATAACTTATACTTCAACTCCTGGTAGGCAGATGGCAGCAAGTTGCCCACTAGCCAGCGAGGAGCAAAAGCATGTCCTTAGAGGCTGCTGCAGACCCCGGACAGCACAGGGGCCTGCATGTCGACAGCGGGTCCCCTTTCCCATGGTGTTAGTTTAGTGAACTTTCATTTAAACTGAGAAACCACACTGAGGAGAGGGGGAGGGGAGAGGTACATTTGTGAAAGAAAACAACAGTTCTGGTAAAAAAAAAAATGTGAACCTTCAGTTTGATTGAGTATGCATTTAAGAGTTCAGAACTTAAAAAATAGGCTATTTTAAATGGCAGAAACTGGAGCACCTCTGATTGGAGTTTTAAGCTTCCTGCCCATCTAATGGATGCATGGGGATTAGGGACACCTCGTAAGAAGGTACTTCTTGGCCAGCGCCATGGCTCACTAGGCTAATCCTCCACCTTGTGGCGCCGGCACACGGGGTTCTAGTCCCGGTCAGGGCACCGGATTCTATCCCGGTTGCCCCTCTTCCAGGCCAGCTCTCTGCTGTGGCCAGGGAGTGCAGTGGAGGATGGCCCAAGTGCTTGGGCCCTGCACCCCATGGGAGACCAGGAGAAGCACCTGGCTCCTGCCTTCAGATCAGCGTGGTGCGCCAGCCGCGACGGCCATTGGAGGGTGAACCAACAGCAAAGGAAGACCTTTCTCTCTCTCTCTCACTGTCCACTCTGCCTGTCAAAAAAAAAAAAAAAAAAAAGGTACTTCTTTATGAGAAAAGTGTAAATAATGAAAATTTATACAGATATGTCCTTGTCTGTGTTTTACCATTAACACATAGGTAAAAGTACTTCAATAATTAATTACTTGATTTAAAGTCAAATGGTGATTCTATCAGGAATCTAACTTACCCAGGTTCTTTCTAGTAATGATCTTAACATTTTCTGTTGATGGTTTGGAATTTGGTGACTAAATGATCTAAGGAATGAATTCAGACTGCTCTAAACT